TTACAAAACATTAATCATTCAAGAAAGAAGATGTTTCGGACAGACTGGGAGAGATATCTCTGTGTCTGGAAAGGAGAAGGATGGAGGCTGTGAAAACTACTGAGTTGTCAAGGGAAAGATCCAGCAGCTCCCGCCTATGATCCCATCAGCTCAGCAGGCTGAAGCAGGAGCATGGCGAGATCAAGGCCAGCCTCTGGCAAAGCCAGGCTCTCATCTGCTCACTGAGACCCTGCCTCTCAATAGAAGCCCAAAGGGGCCTTGAGGTGGGGGGCGGGAGTGGGCGGGGGTCGCTCACCGGTCCAGTAACCCCCAAAGGAACCAACCAAACCACCAGAAGCGCCGAATACCATTGAGAAATGGGTTTTTGTATCCCACAGGCCGCCTGGTGCCTTGGGCTCTTCAAACTCGCCCCCATGGGGCTGACAGTCAGGCCATTGGAGCCAATGGCCACAAGTTCATTCCACGGATTCCCCGCCAGACTTCCTTTGGAGGTTCCTTCCCTTGCCCTGCGGAGCTAAGCTTCCCCAATCCTCTTGGCTCTCCGGGCCTCCATTCCTGTGCTCCCACGGGACCTAGACTCCTCAGAGTCAGTTCCGCTTTCCCTGGCAAATCGCTGTCATGGGACCCAGGGCCACTGAAGGGCGTGTCCCTGAACTCCAGTTTCCCCATGTGCCCAAGAGGGAGAAGACTAGTCCCCGAGTCGGGTGGTGCCGAGGCTCTAGCCGGGGTGGCCACTCCTGATTTGACCCAGGTTCTGCCCACCGGATCCAGTGCGTCGGTGGCAGGCGCAGAAGTGGATGCGAGCTGAGCTAGCGGGTGCTCCCGGAAAGAGAGAGCTGGGTGGGGTCCTTGAGGGTGGGCGTGGCGCACACTCTGGCAGGGGGGCGGAGCCAGGGGCTCTATAAGGCCCAGGTCGGCCTGCCCGTGCAGCCTCATTCCTTCTGGGACAGCGCCAGGCACAGGTGCTTCCAGCTGAGGCCCGGCGCCCTGAGGACCACAAGCAGACCTGCCCAGCGGCGCTCGGGGCGCACCAACGCGCCCAGAACAAGCGGCCAGCCGTGGCCAGGGCCCGGATACCCCGGCAGAGCGACAGCGAACCGAGTCCAGGGCCGAGGCCGAGCCGGCCACCGAGATGGCGTCGGAGGAGGTGCTGCTGCGAGCCGTTGGCAAGCTGCAGGGGCGCCTGGCCACCAGGACCCGCCCTGACAAGCTCCAGAAATACTTGCAGCAGCTCTCCGCCTTGCCCCTCACCCCACACATCCTGCAGGAGACAGGTGTCAGAAAGATGGTCAAGAGCTTGCGCCACCACGAGCTCCTTGGCGGCCTGGCCAGGGACTTGGCGGCCCGGTGGAAGAAGCTGGCTCTTCTGGAGGTCGACCCCGGGCGTGCTGCGCACGACTCCCAACTTGCAAAGGAAATCACGGACTCGGGCTCCCGAGAAAACTCGAGGGCCCCCAGCAGTCCATCCCGCCCTACGGGGCATGGACCCCAAAAGCACAGAGACCTGGAGGAGTCTCCGAGACCTCGCGAGAGGAGAGAAGACAGGAGCAAGAAGCGCCCCCCGCTGGCAGCGTTGCCTGCACCCTGGCGCTCCTGGGATGGCTGCCCTGCTCAGGCCTCCGGGGGGCCTACCGGTCCTCATCCGATGTCCGGGGAGCACTCCGCTTCCCCGGAGGACACTGAGCCCTCCGCTCGTGGCCGCGTGCCTGTCGAAGGCCAGGATCGTCATTTTCAGGCCACCACGGGACTCCCGCGAGCACGTCCCCTGCAAGGACCCCGGGGGAAACACGACCTGCTGCCCAAAGCAAGAGAGACTGATGACGACCTCGAAGATGCCAACGGTAAGATAGAATCCATCTTCTCATTTGGACAGGAAAGGAGATGGAGCTCATGGAGCCCCAAGACAGCGTGGGACCTGGCAGGAGGGAGGGAGGGAGGGAGAGAGGAGCCCAAATGTGGATCCTTGCGGTCAGTTATCTCTCCCAGTGACAGAAGGAGCCCTAGAAGGGAGAGAACCATCCATCCAAGACAGCAGTCCGGGTGGTTGGGTGGTTGGGTGCGGGCAGGGGAGGGGCAGGGGAGGCATCCCTTCCCCGATGAATCCAGTACCATCTTCTACCCAGAAAGTGAGCCCCCCAAGCCTGGCTCCGCTGCTGAAGAAAAGGCAGAGCGCCTGCGGGCTCCGGTCTGCTGATTTTTGCTTTCACTGTGGTTGGTGCGGATACCCTTTCCGTTTTGTGTTTGTGGGTTGGTTGTTTTTTTAATTTTTGTTTTTGTTTTTGTTTCCTCACCCCCCAACCCCCACCCCCCACAGACGGAGAGCCAGAGGAGGAGTTCTTGGAGGCGCCCACTATGTCTTTCGAGGCGTACCTCACGTATGATGACCAGCCTCGGAAGAAGAAGAGAAAGGTGAAGACTTCGGCCAAGGCACGGAAAGCAAAAGCTTCCAAGAGGTCCAGCCAACACCTGGACTCGGCGGAGAACTTTCCTCCTCTGGTGATTGGAAAGCAGTCGGCGGGGCCCCAGCCTGCCCAAGGCCAAGGCAGTTGGGCCGGGATGCAAGGGGTCTCCCGAGAAGCCGCTGCGGTGCTGCCTCCCACGCCATCCCCCAGCCTGTGGGACCCACCCAGTCCCCCTCCTGATGATGATGATGCGCTGATGAGCTTCTTTGCACCCAATGCAACAGCGCTCTCTTCACCACAGGAAGAGGAAGAAGCTGGCTTCACGGGAATCAGAACTAATTCCAGGACACCCGTGTACTCTGGTGGCAAACGTGGCCGTCTCGCCCAAACGACCTGGCTCCCACGGGGCAGCCAGGGAGTTGCAGACCAGGATTCCCTGTGGGAAGAGAGGGCGCTCCCGCATTCTCTGTTCGGGTCTGCTTTGGAGAAATGCACACCCGAGCAGCTGTCCCACGCGGAGAGATGCCACCAAGGGACCGCCGAGGAGACAGATCAGCTATGGAGACTGCACTGTGGCCAAGAATTTAAGGGAGAAACGCCTAAGGAGAACGAGTCTTGGAGGGAGATGTACCTGCGGCTTCAGGACGCCCGAGAGCAGCGACTGCAAGCACTCACCTCGAAAATACGATCCAGACATCCTCAAGAGCCCCGAGGCCCACAAACAAAGATGGTCTATTTCAAGTCACCTGGTGAGGTTCCAGCGAGGCACGGCCAGTTTGGGACACTAGCAGCGGCTGCCTCAGGAAGACCCAACTTCCAACCAGCCCAGCACCCCAGGGGAGGCAGTGACACGCCCTCCAGCACCAGCAGCAACAGCAGCAACAGCAGCAGCAGCAGCCGCAGCAGCAGCAGCAGCCGCAGCAGCAGCAGCAACAGCAGCAGCAGCTTTGATGCTAGAAGTGAGACTGCAGCAGAGGCCTCTGGGAACCCTGTCAGAGCTCACCGCCCGGCACCAGTGGCCAACACCAGAAAACCCAAGGCTAAGGAAATCCCCCCACTCTTGGCCAAGACCCTTAAGGACTACAGAAGACTCATATCCCGAAGATGAACTCAGCACTTGCCCTGGACATGCAATTTCCGAAGGAGTCTTCGATCTCTGCCAAACGTGGACTCCCTGCCCTGTGCTTTGCGCGTGTCCCTGGCGTGAGAGCTCAATGCGAGTTCACTGCCTTTGTTTCCTTTCTTGTCACCTGAGCCCCTCCTAAGCGATGATGTTGTTTTCATGTATAAATCCCCCTGATTGAATTTTAGACTAATAAAGGCCCGTAAATGCTCTCAGTTGTCTAATGGGGAAGGACGTCAGGCTTTCTTAGACATGGCCCCCGGAGCCACTAGTTCAAGGACTGGTGAATCTGACTAACTGTGAAAACAAACAAACAACAACAAAAATAAATAAATAAATAGCAAGGTTTGGGCAGGGGAGGGTGGTAAAGCACCCTTCTGTTCAATACCCAGTACAAGGAGAAACGGCGGCAACAACCAAAAGCAAAGGAGAGACGGAAATTAAAAGAACAACAACAAGAAGAAGAACAAATGAGGCCGAGCCAATGGCGGTGATGCGAGTCTCACAAAGGCGCACAGAGAGTTCAGAGCCAGCCTCAGCCACTTAGCGAGGACAGAGCAACTCTGTGAGACCCTGTCTCCTAATAAAGTACTAAATAAATAAATAAATAAAAAGCCGAGGGAATATTCTTCAGGGTTAAAAGCCCCCCGAGTACAATGTCTGGTTATCTAATAAAGAAACAATACCACACCCACCAACCCAACTCCCTCAAGAATAACCAGTAGCATTGGCATCAGAAACAGATAATCAGACCAAGAGAACAGACCTGAGGACCCAGAAACACTCCCCCAGGCCCATGGACAAACGGGGGGAACACGGATCTAATAAGTGTCTTGGGACCTCAGGACCCTGACAAATAAGAATACATGCTTTCCTTGTGTGTGTGTGTGTGTTGTGTGCACGTCTTCGCCAGCGCGTACACACACACATAGACACACACACACACACATATGTGGCCACACACACAAACACTCTCTCCGATCAGTCTCATATGGATTACAAAACATTAATCATTCAAGAAAGAAGATGTTTCGGACAGACTG